GTATTATTGGCATTTTTTACCCAAAGGCTGTTCCTTTAGGAATTTATAAACTATAAATAACTGACCACAGACATCCACATGACCTTCAGTGATGGGCCACAGACATCACACAGAACCCAGCTGCAGCAGGACCACAGACACAGACATGGCCTTCAATGGCAGCATTGGCCTGGACGTCATTATGGCTTCAGGTAGCAGAATAGGCTACTCTGATCAGTAGGGCCCCAGTGGCCATGGATACCAACATGACTGCAGATGGCAGTGCAGACCATAAACATTCTTACGGCTTTTGATGGTAACATGGGCCATAGACATCAACCGAGACCCTGGGTGCAGGAGGCCCACAGATCCAGACACTGACCTTGCTGGCAGCATGGGAGCTAACATCACCATGGCCTCAGATGGCAGCACAGGGCCACCCCTCAGATCAGTATAGGCCCTGGTGGCAGTATGACCCCCAGACATCTATGGTCTGTGCTGCTACCTGAAGCCATGTCTAGGTCCATGGTCCTACTGCAGCTAGGGTCTGTGTTGATGTCCCTGACTTTGTTACCACAGTAGCCCATGTGGATGTTTATGGTTTGTGCGACAGTCTGAAGTTATTTTGGTGTCCTTGTGCAGTATGTACCTGCAGTTGAGGGACATACTGATGTGAGTGACCTTCCCTGCCACAGAGTCTATGTTGATGTCTGTGGCCTAGCTGCCACCAATGGCCTTGTTTGGGGCTTTGATCCTACTGTGGCCAGGGTCTGTGTTCATTGTCTGTGGAGAAACTATGTGGAGGCCCCTGATCCATGCTCCCGCTGTGAAGAACAAGCAGGCTACTTTTGCTGTGATATCCATGACTGCAGACCAATAGTCGAGAGGGAGGGACATGGAAAGCTTCTGTCAGAACATCGCCCCGCCCCCAATACACAAAAGTAAAAGCCTAGATGGGAAACCACCAAAGGGAATTAAAGTGTGATACAGATGCTAAAGTATCTCCACAATTGATTGCTTCTGGTAGAGGTGTAGGAGGGGAAGAACTCAGTTCTATTTAGTGGGCAGGTGACTGAGAATTTGATTATGCTCCAGTGAATATGCAGATAACATAGTTTGGAATTGTTTCTGTTGTTGGTGGTGGTGGTGGTGATTTGGTTTGGTTTTTATTCTTATTTTTACTTTGGAGGGGTGCAGGATGTAAAATTCCTAGAGAATCAGTAAAAGTGTCATGTTGAAGGTTAAATAAATACATACATACATACATACATACATACATACATACATACATACATAAGTAGGGCTGGAGAGATAGCTCATCAGATAAGAGCACTTGCTGTTCTCCCAGGGAACCTGAGTTTGAGTCCAGCTTCCAAGTCAGGTGGCTTACTGCCACCTGTAACTCCAGATCCAGGGATCCCATACCCTTTGGTGCCCTGTGGGCACCCTCACACACATGGCAAACACATAAACATACACATAAATACAAATTTTAAGAATGGAGAGGAGAAGGAAGGCAAAAAAAAAAAAAAGGAATTATAATCTCCAAAGTAAAAGTAATGAAACCAGTAATAAATCACTGGGGCTGGGTTCATAGCTCAGCAGGAAAAGGCATTTGCTGCCAAACTTGCTACCTGAATTCTAACCTCGGGATCCATATGAGATCAGATTGTTCACCCAGCTCAGTATCAGCCTTTGTGGCATGAACACACACGCGCCCACATACACAATAAAAAGTCCAAACTCAACACACACAATAAAGGTTCAACTTCTGCCACCAATTAATATGAATTCCCCAAACCAATGGCGACTGTCAAATGCTACTTACAAATATTTTACGAAGTGAAATGAAGACTTTTGCAGGACGATAAAAACATGAGAAACAAAAATCAGAGAGACAACGTAGAATTTCTCACAGGGGTGAGAAACAAATGAAATTAAGAACTGGAGAGTTAATGCTAGGATTCATGCTAAGCTATATCTAATACAGAACTGAAAGCAGTCAACAGCTACTGCCAAGTTGCATAGTCTTATGATTTATTTATTTAGGATTTCTATTGCTGTGAAGAGACACCATGACCATTGCATCTCTTATAAGCACAACATTTAATTGGGGCTGGCGTACAGGTTCAGAGGTTTAGTCCATTAATACCACGGTAGGAAGCACAGACAGACATGGTGCTGGAGGAGCCCAGAGTTCTACAACTAGATCTGCAGAAGTGAACTGAGATACACAGAGACCTCAAAGCCCACCCCCTAGTGGCATATTTACTCCAACAAAGCCACACCTGTTACACCTATTATACCTCCTAATAATGCCATTCCCTATGGGCCTATGAGGGCCACTTTATTGAAACCATCACATCTAGGTTTGCTTAGTACCTACCAACAGTAACTATTTCTAAACACTTGAAATGCTATTACATATAATTTTTCAGGCTCTGTGTAATATCCTATTCTTTTATCTTACTGCTATTGTTTTAGAAAGTTTTAACAAACTCTGGACAACAAAGATGCCCTTTCAGGTGGGGGGTGTGTTTGTATGTGCATGCAAGCACACGTATGTGCATGTGTCATACTAGACAGTCTCTGAGGCAATTTTTCCCATTTATTTTCTGTGTCTGGTTCATTATATTGCCCTTGCCTCTACCAAAAGACACAATCTTGTCATCCCTCTAATAGTGAAGGTGCCTAATGATTCTGTAAATTAACATTATTTTAGGATTATGTAACATTTGCTAGAGTTTAGTCAAAACTCACAAGGTATAATTAGTAGTACTAAGTCCATTCTGGCTGTAACCATACCATAAAACAGGTGCTTCTAAAAGAAATGTATATTCTTGGTGCCCAGCAGGTGCAGTGTTGATGAGGTTTGTGGCAATTAGCTGTGACTGCTTGCTGTCCTCTCACAGTAGAACTGGTGAATGAATTCTCTGGACCTACAGCACACACTGATTTCATTTGTCCACACACAGCCTACCAACAAGCCTGAAGGTTGAAGTTTCAACATTAAGTAGGGGGTGAGAGTGGGAGAAATAAACACTCAGGCCATAGTCATGTCTATCAATGCGTCTCTTTAAAAAAACATAAATAAGTATTTCAAGTTTAGTATTTGTTTCCAGAAACCAGCTACTTGGAATACGCTAAAACAAATGTATAATGCAAGTTTTGCAAAGTAGCAAATATAATTTTAAAATGCTTTTTTCAATCATAAGGCAGTTGTTCGGAGGTAAAACTGATGGCTCCTTATTGACGCTCACCCCACAAAGTTGTTTCAGGGGTTCAGGTAGCTGGGGATAGCCTTTAACTGTTAGTATTCTTGGCTTCAAATTCCAGGCATGTATCTCTACACCTGGCAAGTTTGTTCCTTATTAAAATAAATATTGTCCTGATTACAAAAATATTTTTCCTGAGAGAACTGAAAAGTTATGGAGAAAATTATCCACGAGCTTAGTCACTCAGACCGCCTTAATTATATGTGAAGTTGAGATAAAACTGAAGGCAAGCTCAAATTCTGAATGCGTTTATATCTAAGTCCTTGCCATCTAATACCGCCTAGGGGGACTAGATAAAGAAAAGAGAGACCAGAATAAAACTTGGAGGTATGTCAATATTTGAAGAAAGGTAGAACAGCCAGGGGAATATGGAAGAATTGCCAACAAAATAAGAGGAAAGCCAGGAATGTGTTTCAATCAAGGCAATTGGGGCTTATTTATGAAATAATCATCAAACTCACAAAAGGTGTGTGACACAATGAATAAAACATGACTCAAAATTGTTCCACACGGAAGCTTATCTCTACCTATGTCGATAAGCAAGGTCAGAGAAAACCAAGTTAGACTGGGCATAGGGTACTACGCTTCCTAAAAATGAACTGCAAAAACTATTCAGTTAGTGAATTAGCTTTTCCCAAAAGAAATGGACATCAACACCAGCCATTTTTGAGTGATATAAAAAATTAGAAAGAAAAAATAAATCTACTCACATTTTTACAAAATATCAAGTATGAAATCTGTGAAGAGCTACATAAAGAAGTAAATTTGCTGATCTACAAGAGGGGGGCTGGAGAGAGGGCTCACTGATTAAAGAGCACTGGGTGCCTGTCCAGAAAACCCAGTTTGATTCCCAGAATGCAACTTGTAGCTCTACTGGAAATCCAGGGTTCTGATGCCCTCTTCTGGCTTCTGCAGGCACTGAACCCACAAAGCACACTGATAGGAAAATACACAATACACACAAATAAATAAATCTGAAAAGTATATAAACAAGTGATATGTTGGACCTCAAGCTCAAGAACTGGTAGTTAACTCGCATCCATTCAACTTACATTAAATGCCTATATCTGATGCTAGGCTCTTAAAGCGGATCAAAGAAGAGCTGGGTCAACAAGGGCAGCCTCACTCTGTCCCCAGCAGGGTACACTCACACATCCCCACTAAACATTAACTGGGATGGAGTAATAAGATGCTGCCATTAGAGTAGCCTAGTCATATTTTCCATTTTTCATTCCTTTTAAAATAAAGATCAAACATTTTATTTAAAAGCCTTCCTTTAGCTTGTACAAAACAGCCCTGTTTGAAGAATGCTCTAAAGCTCTCTTGTCATTAACAATTCAAAAGAATATGAAACACATATTTAATGTATTTAATGTTATGTATATGAGTGTTTTGCATGCATGTGTCTATGCATCATGTGTGTGCCTGGTGCCTTAGAGATCAGAAGGGGGTCAGTGGGTTGTAAGTCACATATAAGTTAAGGGCTGGAATCAAAGCCAGGCTCTGTGGAAAAGCACCCTATTGTATTGCCTTTTAAATGACACAAAAATAGCAAGCTATTAAAGATAGCCCAATACTGTTATTAGCAATAGATATATTTTTTTTCTTTTTAAACATTTAGAGAGACTGACACATACAGGGGTCGAGGAGGGCAAATGTATGCAAATGTATGGAAGTAACCATCCTTACATCTAAAACTAAATCTTACAGTAAAGAAATTGAACAGAATGCAAGGTTAATGACAGGTCAACATAAGAAATGTGGCTTTTTCAAAAACCAACGTGTTTAATGACAGATAGTTACACAATCTTTAAATGAGTTTATTGTTCCTCTGGTGAAAGTTAAATCTCGTCAAGGTCCTGGCTCAGGTACTTTCTCCTGGCTTGTCAGCAGCTGTGCTGTCTTCCTTTGGTTTATTGAGTAGGAAGTGAACTATCTGCAGGAAGACATCATCATCAAAGCCCTTCACATCATTATCTTCCACTGTCTCAAAAAGAGGCTTACTCTGTGTCCCCCAACATAGATTTTTACGTGGGTTATTTTGATCAGCTTGTACAGTCAGTGCCAGAGTATTTAACTGGTAGCAGAAAAAAGAAAAGAATTTTCCGTCTGTGATCACACCCTGGGAGACAAAGGGTCGAGTAACATCTGCTTCGCTCCAGAACCCTGTAGAAGAAAACAGTGTTGGGATGTGCACACATGGATAAATTTTATTCAAACAGAATACTCTTGAGGGTAGGAGGACCTCTGGAATTCCTGATGCACTAAATCCCTGACTCTCAACTTCCCTGGTTTTGTAACAAACTCTATATTCTATTGCTGTATTAATGTCTCCTCGCTTCTAGAGTCCCCAGACTTATGACCCATCCTTTTCTACAAAGTCAATCTTCAGCAGCTTCCAGCATTCACTTAGTTATCTGAGAACCTTTCCCTACAGGAAGCATTCTGTAACTGGTATTTACTTAGTGACTCAAAAAATGTCCACACTAGCATCACATAAAACCCAATATTCATTATCACCACTTATTTCACTAAATACAGATACATACACAAGCTCTCAAAATCGTCAGGAAAAGTCTAGCTGTCCATGGTTTCAACACAATGCCTTTGCTTAATCCAGTGTCATTTGAAGATGTTAAGAAGTATTAAGAATTGCTGTCATTGTCTCTGGTATCTCAGGTCATAAGGTTAAAGGATGCCTTAATACCTTATCTATTCAAGTTCTCTGGCTGATTTTTGTTCTAGTCTGACTAGTTAAGTACCCTTAAATACCACCAAGGCCAGGAATCCACTTAACTTCTCCATATGTATATTTTATACTAACTCCTTAATGGAGAGGTCTAACAACAGTCACTTCTCAAAGGCACAAGGTAACACTTTATCACTCATGAACACACAGTGCCACAGGAAGTGCCACTTACCCTTCCTGACGATCCCAACCCCACCTATTGCCACCTTCCCCCCCCATTAAAGAAATATAAGTCATCAATAAAAGCATAAGTTGAAACGCATATCTACCAATGAAAAGGAGGACTCTAGTATGAACAATCTGTATTAAAATTCCCTCTGGGTTATTATACAGAATTAGACTAGTTCATATTTTGTAACTTTAGGCTCTGAAGTAGAACACTGGACTCTGAGAGAATAGGAAGATGAGGATTACAGCCCTGTGATAGAGGATTTGCTTGGTAGGTACCAGTCCTTGGTCAGAGCTCCATAGCCTCTACCTTCTGCTACATCAATTCACAGCATTCTCCTTTTGCTTTCTTTACTACTTACCAGCATCTGTGTTGTTCCATACATATTTCAAAAGCCTGTTCTCATCACACAGACTTATTTGGACTATTCCTCAAATAGCCAATAGGCCATTATCTCAATGTATCCTTTCCTAGATTCTGCAAGAATAAGTTCATCACCATTCAGGTCTCTGAAACAAAGTACTTCTGGACATCTTTCTGTGACTCTTTTCAAATAGATTTTTCCTCAATGCCGGTATACTTTTCCCATAACATTACCACTCTGTAAGTAGTACATAATTATCTTTCACTTTCCACTGTAATAACAGCTCTAGGGGAGTCAAGTCTGTCTGTTAGTCAACACTGTCTCTAAAGGTAACAACTCTACCATAAAATGCATTCGAGGGCTGGTAACATTCTGGAGACCCAAACACAACTCCTGCGGCCCACTAAGAGGTGGCGAGTACTCCACAGAAGGCTGTCCTGTGACCTCCACATGCACGCCATGGCCCACATCCCATTACACTTGCATCTACTGAATGGAAACTTCCTAATCAGAATCTCCACTCTGGTGTCATTTTCTTTCCTAACTCAAGAATTTTACAAAGTGAGAAAACCTACAACGATTCGACTTATTCTCCAGTAGTTTTTGGAAATGTTTGTGAAAAACACTAGAAAATAATATATTCACACATGAAGTAATCACAATAAAAGATCAAGAAAGTTACTCATGTGTACTTGTACATTTCAAATGTAAATTATTTCACTACAGATTTTTAAATAACTGCATTTTGTAGTAACATGTTCAGATCCAAGTTCTGGTTTTACCTAAAAAAAAAAAAAAAAATCTAATAACTCCATTTTCAACATGTTATACTTTCATGAAAACTACCACCACATTGGCCTTACCTTGGTACATAGCTTGTGCTCCAGTCCAAGCGAAAAGACTTGCAATGGCATTAGCTCTGAAGACAACTTCTACCTGCTCAGCTTGGTTTTGTTTTATCAGCCTGTTCCTATGCAGTCTGTCAGGTAGCAGATGAAACTGGGTGTGGCCATAGCAGCATGGATCTGCTGTTTTTGAGCCTAATGGAAAGAATAAAAACATTTCAGATGAAATGAGAGCATGCAGAAGCCAAGCGGCACATGCTTTGGCATTTGTTTCAAGCACACCTTTCTTCTTGGAATATATGTTCTATACTTGAAATACATAAATAAACTGAATCGCTTTACATATTTTTTTATTGACCTCAGCAGTTACTTAAAAACAATTTCCCAACCTGCTCAATTACAACAAGGCTCACCAGGGCACAAAATGATCCAGGAAGATACATAGAAAAGGCATTTACAATTTTCCATTACTTAACTCTATCAATCCCTCTCAGTCATTATTAAGAGCTATGTATCCCTCAGAGAAGGTACTTTATGACGGTTCAGGAGGTAAGTGGCTGCTGGGCAACCCTAATGACTTGAGTTGAGTTTCTGGAACCCACTCTACAGAAAAAAGAATGTGTTGCACAAAGGAACTCTCTGACCTCCACACGCACTCTGTAGTGCTTGTACACTCACACTCATATTATGCACACACATTCACAATAACAAGTAAAACGACAATTAATGTAACAAGTAAAATTACAATGAATGTAAGAAGAGTAATTTTGTTCATTTTTTTAAAAGTGTTTATACTTCTAAGTAAAGAACGTCAGTATCTTAGTAGGTAGTGTCTGCCTAGAGCACAAGAAGCTCTTTGAGCCTGAACATACATAATACTGGCACAGTGGTGTACATCCTGCCCCTAACCTCAGCAATGGAGATCTGGGGGGCAGGAGGATCTTCAGTTTCAAGGCTATCCGCTATTCTGCAATGGGTGCTAAGCCAGCCAGGGACAAAGACAGGAAAGAGAGAAGAACAAGCAAAGGCAGAAAGAGAAACAAACAAGATCAGGGGATAAGAAAACGTAAGAGAGAAAGGGAAATGAAAGATAAAGGGGAAAGGAGAGCACAGGCGGAAGGACTGGTAGTCCAGCTCCTATGAATACAGACACGCTCCAGTTCATTGCTAGAGCAGATTTAAAACAATTCCCAGTCACTAAGACCAAGTGATTGAGAAAGGACTACTAAAATGGCCTAGAGGACTATTCTAATGCTGTCTTAAGGCCTTCGGTGGGTCACCTAGGAACTATTAAGTGTATAGAAGGGACAGAACATCAAGACGTGTCAGGCAGACATGAGGCCTACAAGTGTTTGAACGCCTGATGGACCTACCATGTGTAGAATGAGCAAGATGCTTCAATAAAAGGCCATCCATGATCCCAAGTCCAGTTCCAAGCATACAAAATACAAACTACTTTTCCTATATATAAAACAAAAAGCCTCCCAAGTGTAACAAATGCTGCTAATGCAGTAGATACAACAAAACTTTCAAATTAAGAGCTAAATTTCGCTCCAATTTTCATTCATGTTACACTACCGTGAGATGATGAACAATACTGCTCACAGCCAATCAACCTTCTCAGTCTTTAAGAATTAAATCTGAGCTAGGTGTGGTAATATACAGTCCTACATTAGGAAGGAAGAAGCAAGGGGCTGCTGCCCCAAGCTCAAGGCCAGTCAGGGCTACAAAGTGAGTTCAAAGCTAACTGAGACACAGAAACCCTGTCTCCATCAAAAACATAATAAAATATAATAATTCAAAATTAAATTTCCCCATATATCTTCTATGGGTTAGTATGTACAGAGAAACTTACCAATAAATATGCTGTTTTCATACTGGTGTTTGAACAAGGGAAGCTTGTCCGGTTTACATTTCATAACAGGGATTTCTACAGGGATGGAATAATCCAATGGCACAAACTTGAAGAATAAAAAAACACAAAGAGATTTCAGAAACATTGCATCCACCTCTTTTACAATATCTTAAATTTTTTCAATTGAGTTCTCTCTTGCAAAATGATCTTATTATATATAGTAAGTATGAAAAAATCAAAATGCTAGGGACCAGAAGTGTTTTAGACTTGAGGTTTGCAGAATTTGGAATATCCGGAGTCTGCAGGATGGGCTTTCCTAAATCAAAACCCTGAAATGCTCTGACTTCTGGAATGTTCAGACAACATTTTCAAAATAGAAGAGCTCACCTGCACTAATACCTGTTGATAGGACTTAAGTGGTCATATGTAGAAAGTTTTTAAAAATCCTGCTATAATAAACAATCATAAATTGATTTTACCACATTGATGCCTTACCTATTTGACCTAGGTAGAACATATCATTCCAAACCAGAAAGTTGAAAAAGATTTCCAGATGAGCTGCCATCATGAACAAACATGGAAGGCAAGAAATCTATCACCATACTTCATCATATTCACCGGGTTACTGGATTGCCCTTTGGCAACGCTCACAACGGATGCCAACAGGTACAAAACCCTTACCTCAGGGAGTTGCTTAGATATTCGAATCTGGTTGTGTGGTTTATCATTTATTTGGTACCGTAAAGCATCAATATGACCTTTTCGATGACCAGCAGGAATGCGTTCTTCACCACGCAACCAGTAAAAGTCAACAGGGCGTTTACAATCTATCAAGAGATTCAAATTTTTCTTTATTATTTAGAGAAAATTGGTTATTAATTGTGTAATCATAAACATGTTATGAGTAGCATGCCTAAAATATATACATTTAGAAACTACAGAGAATGTAAGAATCTGAGTGACATACTTTAACCATTATATCTCAAATACAGTACTTGAAAACTTCATTTTGCTAACTAATCACTGTAATTAACAAGGCTAGTCAGCTAAAACTAAAGATGCTAAAATAAACAGCAACTACTCACTAGAAGAAGATGAGAATCAATCTATGAAGCACTAAGCTGACTACTACTCTAAAAGGTATGTATAATTCCAATCACTGCCATTTTATATAAGATGAACTTAATTTCATCTGAGCAAACTTAAGTTTTCTAAGCAACCAATGGTGAGTAGTCAAAAGTTACTGTACATTCCTAATACCACTTTTCCTGTACAAATGAGGAAGAGAAGTAATAGACACTATAAGCACACATCTACAGTCATGGTAAAATTAATTCAATAATTTCTATGACACTCACTGGGTCACAGACCCAGTTACAAAAACATTATCAGCTAGGGTGTAGCTCCAAGGCGGAGGGTATTCTAGTCCTTGAGTTCAACCCCCAGTGCTATCACCCCATAAAACAAAAACAAAAAACAAAATTACACATTCTTTTTCACGTCCACATTGAACAAATACGTTTTTGTTTACTGAAACCGAATCTTGACCCCTAATTCTACCAGATACTGGGTCTGAAGACAGCAATGTTTAACGTGTGCCTTTTTACTCTTTATTTATAAAATGAATTCATGATATATACTGTGTTATTATGAAGATTAACTAGGTGGCATTTAGAACTTTGGCCAAACACTATTATTGTAAATCTCATCTTGATATTAAGGCAAAGTAAGGGAGGCTGATGTTTTACATACGGTCACTCAGCTTTCCTGTGGAGGAGTCAAAAGACAACCCCAAGTTGGTTACACTTTCTACTAGCCTCGTAGACCTTTGGCTGGTCAGACACAAATGGAAACCTGATGAGCTTCAGCTGAATCTAAACTTTATCAAGTAGTCCTCAGCAGATCAGGCCACCAGAAACTTGGTCAGTAAGTCCTAACTCACTGAGTGGTACTAAACCTGCAGGAAAGCTTGGCCCACAGCGTCCCCACCTCCCCTGTTCAGGGTGGGAGTCCCAAGCTCACCGAGAGCCGCAGTGGTCAGGACAGGGTTGAGCGGAGAGAGCAAGTTCACGAGAGTTCTCACTATCTGGTCCAGGAGGGAGGAGGCGAGGGCCTGGCGACGATCGAAAACGGACCGGGGCTGGCGGCGCCGCACGTAGAAGTGTTCCTGCAAGATGCAGTCGCACACGGCGGAGCGCAGGGCCGCGAGGTCGAGCGAGGGCGGGGACAGCGGCGGCGCGGGCGGCAGGCCCGAGACAAACACGGTCTTAGTGAAGCCCTGGTACCAGCGGTCGGAGTTCAAGGCGGGGGTCTGCGGATGCACCACGTACTTCTTGAACTGCATCTTGGTGAGAATGCGTATCTTCTCGTCCACTGACGGGGTCGCGTGCACCGTCGCCTGCCATCGCTGGATCCGCCGCTGCCGCGCCGCTTTGCTGTCGGCGGTCATGGAAGCCACGATCGGAGGGTACCGCGCGACGGGCGTCGCCGCGACCTCCAGGTCGCTCGCCTCGGTGGCCGTGGCGGACACCTTAGCAGCGGCATTCTGGGACAGTCCCCGGCCGCGGGGCACCAGCTTCCAACACCTGGCCGCCGCCATCTTTGCCGCCACGACCCGGAACTTGAGGTCAACTGTCAAGAATTGTTCCTGTGCGCTTGCCGTAGGAACCAATCCCTTCTTTGAGACGGATGTTCAATTTGCCTGTTGGGCGTTGTGTCATCTAGTTTGCCGCCAATCAGCTTTCTCCATAAAGTTTATTTTATTCTTTTTGAGTATTTGTGCGCGAAAAAATTCGCTTGCCCCTGTTGTTTTCTTTTCCACCGATTGTGCTCTGAAGAATGAAACAATTAACAGGAGTCCCTGCTTGTAGGATGTTTTAGGGACTCACATTTTTTTCCACCTGCAAATTTTCAGAAATATTCCCTAAAGAGAAACTTTAAATCCATACAAATCTAGCTTCATTTGTGTACCTCATATCGTCTGTTATCCTACACGGCTTTTAGAACTAGAAAATTATTTTTCGAAGTACAACATCTCTTTAGTTATTCTTGCTAATTGTAAACATTATACTAGCAACACTTACCTGTGAACACTACTAAACTTTAGAAAAAGAATTCATATATTATTCAAGGCTAATAAGGTAATATAATTTATTTTGAAATGGGAAAATGTGTTTTTAGTTGAATTTACAAGAGGTCGGGGAACCTCTTATAAATCATAAATCATACTAAGCAATTTGTATGTTGCTGTGTATTAAACCCCTTGATACTTTGGAATGAACTGATTCTTTATAATAAACTGGTCACGCTCAGCTTAGACAGATCACAGCAGGCCAAGATGGCTCCACGAGGGGAGGTTTATTAAGAGAGTGGGAGAGCGGGAGGAGAGAAAGAGGAGTAGAGAGGGTAGAGGCCGGCCATGACCACGTGGAGAGAGGAAGAAGGGAAGAGAGGAAGAGCGAGGAGAAGCTAGAGGCAAGAGACTAAGAGAGTAAGAAAGGATCACTTTATTTTTCAGTCTTCAGCAACCAATCGATAAATGTGCATAATGGATGTTCAGAAATAACTGTGGAAAAAAAATCACCCAAGTCTCACAAAATCTTAGTTCATTTTCAGACAAGCTATTTCAGTGACTTTTGCTATAACTAAGAGCTAGAATAGTGGTGGTTTTGACTTACGGAAATAATTCTTGAGAATGTTGAAAACAAATATTTTGTTTCTAAAATGACTGTATACGTATCTTTAGATTAAAACTGATGGTTCAGTTCATGAAGTTTCAGGCCTATAAAACAAAAGTTTAGAAATGAAGTAGCTAAATTTCAGTAATACCTTTTGTGAGAAGTACCTAATAGAATCTTCAATATCCTTTAAACATTAATAACAAAATGAGGGCATGATCTCAGTCTTCGTGCTCATATCCAGCACCTAAAGGATAAAGGTGACTTGCTGAATAGCAATATAAATCGAAGTGCCATTTTGTGTCAAAAACATTCCTTTAGACTATCATGTAAAATATGTCATTATTTTATAAGTTATCATAAAATTTCAGCACTTATTTTAGACATAAACGTCAACTCTTGGGAACAGTTAACACCAGAAGACTTAATTCTGTTACGGTATATTGTGTTTGTGTGTGGTAGTAAATCGAAATAATTAAGCTATATTTAAGAGGAGAGGTAGGAGAAGCCCTGCAATGGAGAAAACTCTGGTAAAGGACTATTTTAGCTATAGAAAGAAGGGATGCTTAATTTCTAATCTGATTCAAGTCTTTTATGTTGCATGCAAGGAAGCAGACATAAAGCCAAAAGCTACTCAGCGTCTTAAGGGCAGAATTGATGCTGGATCCCAGGTTGTCTGCCACTCATGGTGTTTTATTTAACCGATATTTATGAACACCTTTTATGTGCTAAGTGTCTTCTTACTTAGAGAACCAGAGAGACCTTGGATTCTTAACAGGAAGAAAAAACATAATCATAATACATCATTTTTTGAGTTATTATACATTCATAGGTGTCATGGGAAAAATACAGTGGACAAAGAAAAATATCAGTGTACTCTACTGTGTGGGTAGATGTTTGCGATGTAAAAAGCATGACCAGAATACTATATTTTTGTAAAGGTATCATTTGAGCAATGAGTCATGTAAATATTAGAGAGGGAGATTCCAGAAGGAGAAACACATGCAGAGATTCTGAAATGGGAGTATAACCTAAAGATACAAGTGGAAAGGCCACATGAATGAAAAAACAAAATAGATAATGGGTCTAATAGAACCCCAAACCTTGATAGGCACTCAGACATTAGCAGAACTGACTTCATGATAGAAGATGCATTCAGGCCATAAAACATCACATAGACAATAGCACCTGCCAAAGTGAAAACAATACCTAATCCATCAAGGTCCATATTTCTGGAAAAGTACTAACCTTACAATTTTTGGCTTCTGTGATTCTACTTTGGACTAACTGTTCTTGTTAACTCATGTATGTCAACCCAGAACATGTTTTTACTTTTATTTTTGTTTTTATCTTCATTTTTTGTAGTTAAAAGCTCACCCTGGGATCCCAAACACTTGGTGTAGTTGTTGGGTAGCTAATAATAGAGATTTTCTATTGGCTTAACTCCATGTCTGAGCAGTCTTCTCTGGTAGCTTATCACACAACAATGGGGAATTAGTAGGAATTCATAAGAGAAAGGAGAAGGGTCAAACTTAGAGGCGTCTAGACAAAATTGCTGGTATTGTTAAGACTCTGGCTAGAACTCTGAGCAGCTAGAACGCTGTTGATCTCAGATATCATTACACAAATTAGATTTAATTATTTTCTGTTTATCAATTAGCTTAGACTGCTTAATTGAAGAGATTTGTCTGGAGAATGGAAGTCCAAGAAGAGAGTATCATTATGGTCAAAATCTTGTGAAGGCTTCTTGACTTACAAACGGCTTCACGTAGTGCAAACAAAAAAGTATGCACTCTGTGTTTTATGAACACTAATTCTATTATTACAGGTCCCTATTCTTTTCGTTTTAACTACACTTTGATTACTTCTATAAGTTCAGTCACACGGAAAGTTTGGGCTTCGTCATGGGGATTTGGGGAAAGATGAAATTTTATCAGTCACAGCCATCACACACAAACTGTGGGAGGTCACATAAACTGGTTAATAGTTAAGTGATCCATATACTTCAGATACTTCCAGAAGGACCAGGAATGAATTATTGATGTGTGTACTAATCTACATGGATCACCTAAAACTAGACCGAGTTTTTAACATTACCCAAAGGTTACATGTTAGTTTCATTGTTATTGAATTCTTAATATGACAAATTACAAAACTGGTAAGCTGACTGAGGAGTGACAGAGATTGGGGAGTCACTGTGAAGGGAGGAAAGTGGTGAAGGTTGTAAAAGGCGACGTGGCAATCGTTATGACAGTCACATTCTGTTTAGATTGCATCAGGATCACGGTGCTGATACTGTACTCTAGCTCTGAAAGCTGTTAGCATCATAGGAAATTAGGTAAAGTTGTATGAGATTGTACTATATTTCTATATTTTGTGCTTAAAATTTTAATTAGGATGTTAAGCTGTTGAACCTGGAGGACTGATGGTATAGCCCAGGGTAAAAGCATGCATGAGGGCAGAGGTTCAATATCCAGCGCCACAAAAATATTAAAACTTAGAGGTTAAAAAATGACAGCAGATGCCCAGACTGACTACCAGAAAGAGAGAACTAATCCCTACAAGTTGTTCTCTGACCTCCAGTTACAGCACACACATACACACACACACACACACACACACACACACTATACACACATAGCTAAATATAACTATAATGCAGTTCTCAAAAGATTAAAAATTAAAAATGAACTTGGGGGGAACTGTTGCTTTTCATTTTTTTTTTTAAAAAAAGCTTCAGTATTTCTGTACCGACAGCAGTCACAACTTCAGCGATGCTACATAAATGGACATTTTTTCATGGTTTCTGGATCAGTTGTTCCAGAACATTTTATATTGAAATTACATAAGAATTTGTTTAATTACTATCCTATAGTTTTTTTTCTTTGTATTCTAGTGCTGTTATATATAGAAATGCATTTTGATTTCATGAGTGTAGACAGCCTGTTTCTAAATTTTGAGTCACTTTTGTTATTTTGTAGTATGTACATTTGTCACCCACTGTCATGTGTCTGAGTTTACAAGGTTGCTTGGATTGGAAAAGTGCCCCAAAATGTCCTTTAGGGTTACATGAAAGGCTCTTGCTCTTTGGGACGGTTGTGGAACCACTAAGAGGTGGGGCTTAATAAAGAGGAGTTAATGTCACTAAATGACTAAGAATTTGCTAATAAAAGGGATATTGAGATTCTGGTCTCTTCTTTCTTGTTTTGTGGCCCCATCAGGAGACAGTTTTTATCTATCCCATGCTTCCATCATGATGTACTGCCTCATCTCAGGTCCAAAGTGAATGCTCCCCACTGTCACGAACTAGATAGTCTGAAACTATGACCCAAAGACATTTTTTTTCCTTTAAAGTGACTATTTCAGGTATTCAAGTTAAAGCAGTAGGACGCTATCTAACTATTTTTGAGAGTAAAAACCATTTTACTTTGTCTTTTTTCTTTTTTTATTTCAAATTCCCCCCTTTAAAAAATGCACCTAGAAGAGATAATTTGTCTTGATGAGTAAAACAACCATCATGAGAAGTTCTTTGACCCATACTCTCTGTCCTTCTTTTCGACAGCATATTTGGAAGATGCCAGAAGCCACCAGGAGGAGAAAAGACTTGTTCATTTACAGAGCCATGAGGTGGAATTACAGATGCATGCTACGGTAATACTTTGTTTTTTTTTAAAAAAAAAAATGTGCTAGCCTAGGTATTTGCCTCCGTTAATACTCGGGAAAAGTCCACCATAACAAGATTTGCTGCCATGGTTGTTTTCCATATCTACAGTATTTCGCCTAGTCCTGGATTCAAAGTAGCAGACCTGGCCATTGTTTTACATAAAACTCACAAATCTGTAGCTATTTTATGTGTTACCTGTATTTACACAGTGAGACTACTTTTTATACAGAGGATCAAACACTTATATTTTTTCTATTTGGAGAGTATTTCTT